TGCGTTAGTGCAACAGGTTGGAGGCCCTTGCTGTCACCCCATCCTTTGAACCCTGGTGTGTCTTCCTGCCACTTGCCACAGACCATTCTGATACTATCATTATTTCTTGCTTCAAGTGCAATGGCAGGCTGGAGGGTGTCCTTAAGCTCGTCTCTAGTGCTCCTGTATTTAACCCCCTCCCCCTTCAAGCCTAGTTTAAAGCCCTTGATTGGGGTAAAGTGTTTGGTTTTAAGGCAATATTTAACACACAAAATGAAGTTTTATTTTTAGCTGTGAATTTTCCATACAGAGACAGCACTCGTTTACTTTGGATAAGATGTAAATTTCAGAAAGTACTTTGATTTATAAATATTCACACTACATCTTGGTCTGAAGACTCAATAGTCTGCTCCTGTGAGAATCTTTCCTTCATTTTGACTCCTGGATGAAGAACAAAAAAGTCTTTAACCAGCAGACAAACTCCTCTTGCCCCTTCTTTTACTTGGCTCCACTTGTCTCTGGAGAACAGAGTGCTGCTCTGAGGCAAATGCTTGAGTTTTTCCCACTCTCCACCCACACAGAGTAGCACAGGAACAAAGAGCTGAGATTTTCCTGTGCCTCTTGGATCAAAACCTACTTATTCTAGGCCTGGGTCTGCCAGCATCTCATCTGTGCACAGCTGATTCTGCGGTAAAGAATTCTCCTCTATTATTTTATATCTTTTGAGACACACATCTTGTTACCTTATAAAGCATTCTGAGAAGACAACGTGATCTTAATTTTTTGATGGCAAATGAGTTTGTGGGGCAGTATTTGCTTTAGGGCTACTGGTCAATCAATAAAAGCCCACCTTGAAAGAATAAACTAAGATTTATTGCTGTTCCACTTCTCCCTCTCCCGTAGCTCTGTACAGAGCAGAGGGGAAGCGGCAGGCAATGAGAGGTGTCAGCTCCCACATGAACACGAAGCACAGCCTCGCTAAAGAAATAAGGGGAAGAGGTTAAAATGAGGAAAGCCTTTTGCTTCAGCGACACGGTGTCAGAGGTTCAGTAGTGTCTCCTGCTCTACCCTGCGTATCTATTTTCCACAGATGATTGTGCAGTCAATTTATTGTGGAGTTACGTCATCTGGTGGTAGCAAGTTGCTGAAAATTTGACGGAAGTTGATGTCAGAGGAATAAACTAACAGGAGGTGTTTCCCGCATTTGCTGGATGAAAAGTTGCTCCCCAGACAGAGAAGTAGAGATCTGATGTCCTGCACGACCAGTCCTGAGACACCTGTTTTCAGTCTGATGAATATTCCCTTCTAAGCAAAACCAGAATTTCAGGAAGCAAACTAAGGTCCCTGTTTCAGGTGTCCTGCTCTTCCAGTGACTGTCTGGAATGGGTCATTCTCTCAGTCAGAAAAAGATATGTTAAACCATGAAAGTATCAAAAAAAACCCCAAAACCCTACTCTTTTGAAGGAGACACATGAGACATTCGTTGGGTATTTGAAGCTGAAAGTTTAGGTAGAAGACAGAACCCAGTGGTAGGGCATGGGCTGAGAGGGAACTTCGTGAAACAGTGAAAAATTATCCAGAGTTTTTCTTAGTCACTACATCTACCGGTGAGGAAATTCACCATGACAGCAGTTTTGCATCTCAGAAAGCAGAAGAAAGATGGGATATTACAGATGTTTCTTTCTGTGCAGCTGTCAGTCAGAAAGGTGAGAACGTGTCACTACCAGCCGTGGCGGCAGCCGTCCTCGCTGCCCGACGGAACAACCCCGCTGGAGATAGCACACCAGCACACAGCACACTCCCAGCGTCGTCTGGAGGAGAACAAACTGGGACTGACCTGCAGACAGCGGTAGGAACAGATTTCCTCATGGGAGGCAACAGAACAACCTATTTGTTTCATTTGTCGTGCCTTAAGCCCACGGTTTCTGCCAGCTGGAGACACGTGCCAGCTGCAGCACCCCCCTGAATTACGGACACCAGCTTCCGAAGCAGCCTCAGGCTCTGGACTAATCCTTGAGAGAGTCTACACCAATATAGCTATTTTACAAGTACACTTGCAGTAATAAAGGTACCTCATGTTGAACCAAAGCTGAGAAACCAAATGCCCGTATCTGACTTGCAGGGGATCTGTTCGGCTCCAGTCAGTCAGGCTGTGGACATTGTCCATTTATCCTTTAAAGTGGCTCAAAAATGGCACTCAATCTAAAATCAAACAAGCCCCCGCCAGAAAAATAACAAACACAAAAATGAGAAAAAAATATGAACATCACTGGCACAACCCCATTCTGTACCTCCTGCCTTGCTGTACCTTTCTGGGCAATCATATGGTCACATTCCTCAGCACAAAAACCGTTTTTCCTCCCCTGCCTCAATATACTTTTTTTTTTAAAGAAGAACATTTACCAGGAGAGCAGAGATCCTGCTTTTCTCTACATCCTCATATTAGCTAACTGTTAATAGACCTCAAGATGGCAAATGAGCTGAGTTGCCCATTGCAAGAAGGGTTTCATGTCTCAGAAATTAGTAGGTGGCAAGCTATTAAAAAGGAGTGGATGTTAAAATAATACATTTGACTGACATATATATTTTTATATACATATATATGTCTTGAAAGTCAAAGTCTCAGTTTAAGTATATTTCAATGAATATTTTGTCATAGCAGATAAAGAATTTTTGCAGGGTCTTAATTAATTTGTTAAAAAAAAATATAACAATTACCTTTTACACATCCCTTAAGAAGAATTTGAACCATGTTAATAAAAATCTACTTTTTTCATAAGAACTGATTTGTGTTATATTGGACAAGGGAAAAATCATAGGGTTCTACTGCAATACTGATGTCAAGTCCGGAATTGAGCTCACGCTGGTGATTCCCAGGATGGCAGGCGGCGTCAGCCGGCTCTTCCCCCGCCACGCTGGCACCGAGGGTGTGCTCTGCTTTGGCCCATAATTAAACAGTGAGAAGGTCCTGGTGTGACACGGTGATTTCGCACACGTGCTGGATGGGATCAGAGATGCAGGAGATGACATTACAGCTGTTGGCATCTGGGAGCAGGGACCTGCCGTTGCCATGGAGGTGTTGTAACAGAGAGCGGGGCTGGTTCTAGAAACCAAGGGGCAGCGGAGGCTCTGGCAGAAATGGCCTTTCCTCCCCTGGAGAACCACTACCACAACCACTATGGAGACTCGGAGGCAGGTGCTGTTGTGCCCCATGTGCCTGGAGATCTTCACGCCCCCCCATCCTGGGTCCTGCCCTGCATGCACAACTTCTGCTCCACCAAAACTGTCACCACGTCATTGTTGACCACAGAGCCTGTAATTGTGTATCTACATTTTCTGCAAGTTAAAAATGCGCTTACCTACTCTAAACACTACCTGGAGACATGGTTAGGGTGCAATACCTAACTTGTCCTTAATTTATTTCTCACAGGAAACTGAAAAGCTGATTAGTGAGCTAGCAGCCAGTGCTACAGACACCAAGGACGTGATCAGCACAGCTGGACTGGCATTGCTGAAGGGCATTCGGTACCGAATGGCTGAGCTGCAGTCCAGATTGCACCACGACTACTCCACAAAGCTGGAGAAGCTGCAGGCCATCTCTAACAAGGCCAAAGCCTTTGGACGGCTTTACCAGCAAATGGAAGCCCTCCTGGAACAGAATGAAAATTCTGTCCAGTTCCTACAGGAAGACACAAAAAAAAATATCAAAGAAAAGGTAGAAAAAGCACTAGAAGGAAAAGCCTCGAACCAGCGGGAACCAAAGCATAAAATTTCCATGCAAGAGTATTTTGAAGAGCTCATCGGGGGAATCAATATCAAGGCTTCTGTCTCCACTGCGTGCGAGGAGGTGCTTCCCAGCACCACTGACCTAACAGAGATGTGTCGGCCCAAAGGTCCCGCCTTCGAGTTTTCCGATGAGGGTCCCGACCACCCCTTTCTGCAAGAAAGTGCTGCAGGAAGGTTCTGAAAACGCAGCCCCCTCCTGAGCTGCACCGAGACGCGCTAAAGTGAACGTTACCCGTGGTGAAGATGCAGTGTTCACAGGTCTCTGACAGCATAAATTAAAGCGCTCTCTCCTCCTGCGTGTGCTGTGAACCCTCCCCATGGCCCCAGCAGCTTCCAGCACCTCAGGTTTATTCTCTGTCAGAAAACGTAAGTCACATCCCAAGCACTAAAATTGAGCCTTAAACCACCATCACCACACACCGTTAATTCCATAAAAACCTCTCTACTGAGGGTAGGTTAGGTTAGTGTCTTAATTAAGGTCAGGTTAATAACTTAAGGGGATTACAAAATAATTTGAATTTATTTTAGAATGATAAATGCTGGGCTGCAACACTTCTAATATTTGCTATAATTTTCCAGAGCAGTGAAAAATATATTCATACCAGGGTACCTCTTACATTTTTGACAGAGCCTACCTACCCCTTTTTTCCCTGCATCCTTTCTCTACCTTTCTTTGCTAATGAATACAAAAGCATTCCTGCTTTTCAGGGTAACATCTGTTCAATCTCCACACATTTTAACTTCGGAAAACTTCAAAAGTTAACAGCTTGGGGTTGGTTTTTTTTTTTGTTCTTCTGGTAGTATCAGAACTACCTTTTTGGAAATCTAACAAACTGGGGACATGTCAAATAGCACTCCTGCAGGAGAGGAGATGCGTAGGATTCTGGGGGGCTATTTTGTTCCAGGTGTAGGAGGTTTCTGTTTAAAATACGGTGTCAGCTCAGGCCTGGGGGTGGCAGGGATCAGCCCCAGGCCCCCTCCTGCAAACACCGGCCTTTGATGCTTTTAGTCTGGCTCCCAAGGTACAAGCACAGGTCCTTCCTCCCTCCCCTCATCCCTTGTGAACCCACCCACCGCCTTCAAGCCCATTTAACCGAATTTAGTGCAAAGAGAGTAAGTTCCCACAAGCTCCACGATGGTTTTCCATGAGCGGTCTCTGTGAAACGAAGGCACAACGTTAAGTTAAAACTTTTTTTTATTTTTTTGGAAGGACAGGATTCACATGGGAATGGTGGAGAAATAGGAAAGACCCCATTGTGAGAAAAGCTTCAGCTGTCACTTTTACATTACTAGATAATGGAAAATGCAGCAGAAAATGGGAATCCAGGGTTCACCAGTACCAGTGCTACGGGACCACAGAGTTCCACATTCACCAGCCTGAGACACTTGCTCCAGTCCCAGTGCTGCCAGCCCTTTTCACGCTTTTTTCCTCTTTACTATTTTGACCACCATCAAATGTTGTATAATTTATAAGGGCACACGTAGGGACATGTTCACTGTGACGTAGAACAGACAGAACTGGGACCAGCCACGCATCTTATCCCCTTATCTCTTGCTTCTCACTCGGAAGCTGCCGAGGTGCTGTTTGGTCATGGCCGGTGTGTTTGGAGATAACCTGAGCTCCATAAGCTCAAGGTGATGGCCAAGGCTGGACATCACCTGCTGCTCAGCCAAGGCGTGCTGAGGCAGTCCAATACTCAGAGTAGCTCCACCGGTACTTATCATCTACTGAGAGCCACCGAAGCTCAAGTGCAGCACGAGGAGAGGATGGGGCCGGCCTTTTTTCAGTGGTGCCCAGTGACAGGACAAGAGGAAACAGGCACAAACTTGAACATAAGTTCCATCTGAACATGAGAAGGAACTTCTTTCCTGTGAGGGTGGCAGAGCCCTGGAACAGGCTGCCCAGAGAGGGTGTGTTGTCTCCTTCTCTGGAGATATTCCAAATCTGCCTGGACACGTTCCTGTGGGACCTGCTCTAGGTAGACCTGCTCAGGCAGGGGGTTGCGCTAGATGATCTCCAGAGGTCCCTTCTAACTCTCTACCATCCTGTGATTCGGTGAGACCTGCAGCATCCACCAGCCACCTCTTCACTGCAGCTACCAGAGCTTGGGCTTTCAACAACAGCCCATTTTCAATGAACTGGATTAGACAGATTTATCAGAACAAGCAGCTTATACATCTAAATTATTTTCTTCTTTACTGATACCAATAGCATTTGCCAACAGTCTTTGCTTTCAACATTTTCTACACTGTGATCCACTCTTAGATGGATCACACTTCCAGTATCTGAAGGGGGCTACAAGAAAGCTGGAGAGGGACTTTTGACAACAGCATGTAGCGACAGGAGGAGGGGGAACAGTTTTAAACTGAAAGAGGGGAGATTCAGATGAGATACTAGAAGGAAATTCTTTGGTGTGAGGGTGGTGAGAGCCTGGCCCAGGTTGCCCAGAGAAGCTGTGGCTGCCCCATCCCTGGAGGGGTTCAAGGGCAGGTTGGAGGGGGCTTGGAGCAACCTGCTCTGGTGGGAGGTGTCCCTGCCCAGGGCAGGGGGTGGCACTGGATGGGCGTTAAGGTCCCTTTGAACCCAAACCGTTCTGTGATTCTGTGATTGACTCCCTTATTACAGCTCCTCCCACAATCCTCACTGTATGTAGCACATTCTCAAAATTGCTAAAAATGTGTACTTTAATTTTCGTGTACCTCCTACCGCCTTGCCGAATACGACTCCTGGAAAACAACACTTAATGACTACTACTTCTAGTAAATTCTGTGTAGTAGCAGGAATTACTACAGTGTCTAAGCAAAATCCAACGGCAGGATGGGATTTCACTGCAGAACGTTGCTCGGAGTCATTTTTCTAGGTGCTCACACCCCATCTTGTGACCTACGCTGGAAGTGCAGGACCTCCCAAAGGCCCTCCCGGCTGTACCCAAGAAGAGTTTCTCACTCGAACGCAGGCAGAAGCTCCTGCATTCATCAGAAAATGCACCAAATTACACCTGAAAGTAAAGATTAAAAAGTTATTCGGCAGCCAGCCAAAGTTATTTGTCAAAGGGATAAGGGAGACCTTATCAACGCCTACAAGTATCTCAACGGAGGGTTGAAGGAGGAGGGAGCCAGACTCTTTTCAGTGGTTCCCAGTGAGAGGACGAGGGGCAACGGGCACAAGTTGGAACATAAGAGGTTCCACTCAAATATGAGGAGAAACTTCTTCACGGTGAGGGTGCCAGAGCCCTGGAACAGGCTGCCCAGGGAGGGTGTGGAGTCCCCTTCTCTGGAGATTTTCAAGCCCCGCCTGGATGCTCCTGAGTAACATGCTCTAGCTCTAGGCAATCCTGCTTCAGCAGGGGAGTTGGACTAGATGATCTCTATGGTCCCTTCCAACTCTAAAAAATTCAGTGAAATTCAGTGAAAGTTTTACCTGCACAAGGATGAAAACTGCAGTTGGGTTCACCTTCTAGCTGCTGAGGCACGGCAATTTAGTTTGACACGTAAAACTGTCTGTGTTATCCAGACACGTCACTGTTTAATCTGCTTGTTGGCCTCATCAAGGCTCCACGTTCCCTTCTCCCATTTGTGATAAAAATCTTCATTTGTGAAGTAAGACAGGACACCACACACAGAAGAATGTCATCAAACTCTAGAAGCTTTCACAAAATTGTTAAGAACTCGCAAAAATTTTATTATTTCTAGCATTTCTCAAAAGAACAAAAAAAAAAAGCTTATTTACAGAGAAAGACTGGCAAGAATACTTTCTGTATGCATACATGTTTTTTAAGGCCCCTCTATACCAATGATCTTGTGAAAATTGAGAGACAGAAACCAGATCTGCGTTTGAAGTTTGTTTTTAAAGGTAGCATCTCCCTCCCAGAGCTTGTACCTGATGAGTCTGATGCTGCAGACACACTGAGAAGCTGAAGGACCATCTCCCCTCCCCTGAAGGTCTGCGATGTGCCTTGTAGCCCCTGTGCATTCTCAAAAAGTTAAAATTCAATAAGGAATACAAGCAGGAAAGGTATTTTGATCAAGTAACAACACATTAACATAACACTTCCACGTCAGATTGCTGCTGTTCTAGTCTGTTTCTCTTCCCCTAGATAACACTCTGCGAACAAGGATCCCTTGACAGACCAAGGGCATTTCTGGGGATTAATTGGATACAATTTATTAGACTCTACTATTATTAAGGCTTCTTTGTTAGTACTATCACACTGATACATCAATAAGCTGAAGCAAAACTTAGCTTATTTCCCACATCACCCCTCAGGAGAGCTCCCTGAAGGCACTACAGTTGCCCACACGAGTTAATGCCTCCTGGCTGCAGTTGGTGTTTGGGATTTACCTAGTGAACTACTTGGCACCACAGAATAGCTCAGATGGCCACTGTTTGACAAAATGGATGCACAATGACCAGTCTCAAATCTTTTGAGCCAATTTCCAGCCTAGGCAGCTTACAAGAAACAATGGAAGCAGGCAGAGGGGCAATGGCAATGGGACAGAGGAGTCCAAAGCCTGTAAGTCAGATAACAGTACCAACAAGAGCCACGGCTAGTGGCTGTCCTGGGAGCCAGAGCCACCACTGGCCCTAAGACCACAAACCCTCACCCAAGCAACAGCGAGCTGCAGGGGACACAAGGAAAGGCCAGGGCAGGGCCAGGCCGCACAGCCCTTTCCTGAGGGGAGAGACCTGGCCATGGGTCTGCGGGCAGATACGGCACCACCCAGAGAGGCGCCCTCAAGGCGGTGGAGGATGAAGAACAGCCCCAAAGCGGGCGGGCAGGTCCGCGGCCCCCTCAGCCCCGCCGGGCGCAGCACCAGCGCTGCAGCCGCCGGGGGCGCCATTTCAGGGCTGCCCCCCGAAGACGCCTGAAATAAATGGCGGAGGGGGGCGGAGACTTTTCCCCGCAATCCAATGAGAGGAGAGAGTCCCGGGTGGAGGCGGCGCCGCACTGCGCCGAGACCAATGGGCGTGAGAGACGGCGGATGATAGACGGGTGGCGCCCTCCGCCCTGTTGCTCCGGGGGGCGGGGCTTGGCGGCCGCCGGCCAATGGGGCGGGCGGCGCGGGGCGCGTCGCGCCGTCCCGTGGTGCCTCGCGGCGAGCGGCGGCAGGAGCGGCCGCG